AACGAGGGGGGGGGGGGGGGGGGCTGCCACTGAGCAAGGAAACAGAAGTCCCTTCCAACTTTTAGTACATATCTCAATCTACATTCAACACGCTGAATATAACTGGTAAGTGTAGCTGAATATATCACTGATTTCTGGGCTATGGTCACTGCCTACAATGTGTTTGTGACACAGTTATGCTCCTGAAGTGAACACTACTATTCCTTTGCAACACATTGTCAAGTGGCTTATGAACCATGGCATGAAGCACATGAAAACGGATGTCTGTGAATGTTTTAAGGGACATGGATGAACGTACGAAGGATTGCTTAACACTTAAATTTCAACACATGTAGAGATGAGGGACATTCAATCTTCTTTCATCAAAGAAGGGCAACTTGTTATTGGACTGCAACAGCAATCATTTGTAACTTTTGCCTAATAAAAAAAGAGAAATCAATGGGAAATTTAAATTAAGATTAGGAATGCTGAATGACCAGCAAAATAACATCTATTCTGTTCAGAACTTTAAAAAAAAGTGAAACTAATATAGTGAAGGACTATATAGAAAATGTAAGCATGGAAAACTCTTTCAGAGAAGAATCATTTCACTAACACCCAGTAATTCTAGAAAGTAAAGTGAAAGCTTTTCTGAAAGCAACTGGAAGAAAATAGAGTAGATGGGAAATAAATAGATACTTCAAGTGACAGAGACCAAGTCTGTCAAAATCCTAGCAATATGCCAGCCAATGAGGAAAACAAAACAAAACAACTTCCATATTGGAAATGTTAAATATACTTTCCAATTCCCCAAAAGAGGAAATGCCAAAGACTGAGGTGACTATAACACCATTGCTAGGAATATGACTTTTGTGTCCTAACAAAGGCAAAACACATAAAAGACGTTTCCCTCCTTTACGTAGCCTTCCACTGATTCCCAGCAGGCTGAGGCAAAGAGGCAGTCCCAAAACCAGCAAAATCAGGGAGCTGGACAGGGGACAGATTGTATTTGTCTTCAGTGTGGAAGGGACTGTCACTCTCGAATTGGCCTTCTCAGCCACACTAGACGTTGTTCCAAGTCCTCCATACAGAGCACATTACCATAGTCTCTCGAGACTGAAGGATGCCTACAGAGACTGATTCCCAAAACAGTCTCCTAAACATAAATGACTTGTGTTTGACAGAGAGGGGCATGAAATTTCATTTTTCTGTTTCCTTCTTATGTTTATTTTTGCTTTCACTCTAATGGTGTTGCAAAGACTGCTGTCAGCAGCTAGTCAGAATGTCCAGGAGAGGGGAGCAGAAATTTTGAAGTTTTAAAATGCTGGAATTGGATGGAACCCAGTGGGAGTGTTCTGTCTTTGTTTCGCCTGACCCCTGCGGTGTGTGAGCTTGTGGCATCCTCCATCTTGTGCTGCCTGGCTACTTGTCTATCTTTTGGATCCTTTCCTTTCCCCCCTGATTTCTTTGGATATTTTTTCTAGTTCTTTCTTGGATTATTTTTCCTGCCTGCCTGCTGCTGCATTGGACTCAAAGAAGAGAAGAAAAGGAGGATAAATGGTAGGAGAAGATACATCTCCTCACTTTCTGTTGGTTTTGCTTAGTGGGGAAGAATTTGATTATAATTTTTGCTTTTATTTGCTTGCTTGCTTTTCTTGGTTTTTGCAAGATAAGACTGTGTGCATGCTTTTTATTCTCCCTCCTCTGTTATGTGTGCGTGCATGCATGCATGTTTGTGTGCCTGTGTGTGTGCGTGCGCTCATGTGCTTTCATGGTTTGAGAAAATTTTTGAAATTGCTATTTGGTTCGGTATTTCCTCTTGATATGTGAATATTTTGATGGGTTGCAGGAGCCTGTTTTGTTTGCTTCTGTGGGGAGGTGTTTTCAATTTGACTGTTAAAAATTTCCCTGTTAGAATTGCTATTTGATTAGTTAACTATTTATTTATTCTATTAAATGTGGACATTTTCATTTTCATGGGGACTGTTTTGTTCCGTGGTGTTGGTGGTTGTTTGCACTGTTCCTGCTTCTGAAGTAGACTGATTCATAGTTGGGGTTTTTGGTTAGTTTTAATGGGTTCTTTGGAGCTTTTTGACTAATGCCAGAAAATATGAACGAAACAAATGAAACAAAACGAAACAAAACGACCCAAAAGAGTGGTCCTTTCCATGACAAACATAAGAACTGTGAACTAAAAACACAAACATGAAAGGGGCTCTTCCCCTGAAAGAACAAAAAAATGAAAGCTTTCAACATATACAACTCTAACTGTCGCCTTGGGGAGAAAGGGGAGAGGGTATAAATATTTTAAACAAATGAACAATCACTGCATTAATGTGCCACATGTGAGGTAAAATACTGTACATACTGAAAAAGCAAAACTCCAAAAAGGTCTACAGGAGATATAATGTTAATGTTAACAATAAAGAAATCAAAACTGATGAAGGTTTTTGTACACCTTGGTCAAATCACAAATCCAAATGGAGACTGCAGCGAAGAATCAGAGCCTCGTGGCGCAGTGGTTAAAACGCTGTACTGCAGCTAAAACTGTGCTCATGACCTGGGGTTCAAATCCCAGGTAGCCGGCTCAAGGTTGACTCAGCCTTCCATCCTTCCGAGGTTGGTAAAATGAGTAGCTCAAATTGTAAATGAGCAGCTCAAATTGTAAACTGCCCGGAGAGTGCTTGTAGCACTATGGGGCGGTATATAAGTCAAACAAACAAACAAACAAACAAACAAACAAACAAACAAACAAACAAACAAACAAACAAATAAATAAGATGACTGATACTTGAAAGAGTAGCTATGAAGAAAGTAGAAATTATCCTCAAGTGTAAGGATGTCTGGATAGAAACCAAGGTGAAGATCATTCACACTATGGTACACTTAATTACAATGTATAGATGTCAAAGCTGGACAAGAAAAAAATGATTCACTCACAAAGTGGAGTTAAGAGGAAGGTTTTATGGATACCGTGGACTACCATAAAGACAAATAATTGGGTTCTAGCTTAAATGAAGACTGAACCAAATTTAGAAGCTAAATTGAAACTATTGATTAAACTACTGAACATACTGCAAGACTAGCTTTAAAAGACAATCATGCTAAGGAAAGTGGAAGGCCAGGTGAGACAAGTGATAAACCTAACATGAAATGGCTTGACTAATTAAAGGGAGCCACAGCTCTTTGTTTGACAGCCCTGGAAAGGACTGTTAATGATGGGCCCTTTTGGAGGTCATTAATTCATAAGGTTGCCATCGGTCAAAAGCAGCTGGATTGCACAGAAGAAGAGATGTCACCTCAGGCTGATGCACGCTGTGGGTCAATATTATTTATATGGCCACAAGGTGGGTGCCTTTTTCAAATAATGTTATTTACACCAAAGGAACACATTATATTAAAAAAATTGTTTGAACAGATGACAGCAGTCCCTCCCTCCCATAGAATCTCTTAAGATCTCTACAGTTTTGGTCTACCATATGGTTCTCAATGCCATGCATGTACTCTTAAGCTAGATATCTATAGCTATGAGCTGGTTAGTCAGCTCCCATTTCCCCTGAGGTCTCCCATGCACTACGCCCTTCTGGTGTTCACTATGTGCAATACTGATGTAAAATGGGAATAAGACAAGGGCAAGACAAACCCATAAGTTGGATTCACCATTTAAATAAGACAAAACATAAACAGAAGTTTCCACAGTTCGAGGTATACATCTTCTCCTCACGAAGCTCTTCTCAAGAAACTGGGGCCAAATTCATGCACCAAGTGTCCTTTGAGATTGGAAACCTTCTACCTCACATGGCAAATGACAAGCTACAGTCAATTACAAATGGGTCTGTAAAGGGGGAAAAGGTCCCTCCAACTATCCACAAATAAAACTTACAGCCTACATTCTGAACACCGCAAGCACACAGAGATCAAGCTCAACACCTCTGGAAAAAATGTACATTCATGGTCACCTGAACAATTCTTGGAGTTGGCACTTTAATAAAATGTAACCTTTTCCCAATCTTTATTAATGGGCAGCCCTTATTGGTGAAAGACAAGTATGTGCTTTGGGAAGCACATTCCACAAAGGTGAAGGGTTTGTGTGCATCACTTCCTGCTTCCAACTTCTATACACTCTATATGGGGAAACAGCATCCATACAGAACTCATTGGAACTCATTCTCCCCCATGCACCTTTGCAAGTCATAGCAAGTTTTTGCAACTCTCATGGCGCAGCAGAGTATTCTTCTAATGGTTTGAAGCAGCAGCATAGTGACGACATGGGAGATGAGGGTGCTGCTATACGTTTTGCAAGTTTGAGGCCTTCTCGTCCCATAATTCAGCCTGGGAGGTTTCCATCAAATGATGGGACTCAGAACTCTTGAATTCCAACAATCCCTTTCCTATCGAGCATAGTATCCTCACATGCAGTCAACAACCACTACCTGGCTCTCAACCAGCATTATTAAGTGCTGTCAACAATGGAACTGTTTTGTTTGTTAAAGTCTCCAGTACGGCAAGCATTAGTGGCCATTAAAACAAACAAACAAACAAACAAACAAATGGTGCTGGGGTAAAAACTGTTACAAGACTTACCTGCTGCAAAAGGCATCTTATAAGGGTAGCTGTTCCGCCCTGTATGCACATTCCCAATCCTGCTTTCTGGTACACGCATAACTCCACAGAGGCTGTAGCTGTTAATTGCTGGACCTTCCCCACAACAGTACGGAGAGCTGCACCAATGAAATGGCTGAAATGACGGGTCCGAGGTTAAGGAGTCTGGAGACACCAAAAGCCCCTCGCAACCTGTCACTTGTGACAGTTCATCCTTCGGGTAAACAGAGCAATGAGTGTAACTATTGTATCCGCTTTGGCCATAATAAACATAAAATCCGTTCAATGGGGTCAAGTCCGACGATTCATAGAGACAGCCACAATCTGGATGGTTTCCCGGTACAGGCAAAGGAGGGAACTGAGGTACTGGGAAGGAAGGTTGATGAAATTCCTGCTTGGGGGTGGGAGATTTCTCTCCAGGCCTTCCATATTCAGGCTTCATAGAAGCTTGCCCACCCATCAACAAAGGCAGCCGGTGACAAAAGCCTTCCATGCCTTCACAAGAATTAGGTAAGGGTTCGTAATTGATAGATTCCGTTCTCCCATATATCCTTGGAGAATCCTGATGGATGACTTTTCTAAATGCCCCTTCAGTGACACCTTGCCAGCTATGCTGACCCTCAGTATTTATAGTGGCCACCTCCTTTTTGGACTTAACACAGTTTTTCCCATTGGCTTTGGCCCACTTGAGCTTTGATCTGGAACGGTGGCTCTCAGGCTTGCTGTCTCCAGTCGATTTACTCCTTGGCTTTAGCGGTTGGTCTTTCTCGTGGGTCAGTTTCATAAACGCTGCGGCGTTGAGACTGGCCAATCTCTTTGGAGCGGGGTGATAGGAAATCCCACTGTCTTCCCGCCTTTTTCCTTCGAAGACATCGTCCAATGACTGATCAAAAGCAGCAGACTTCTGACCTGATTTAGTTTGGTGCTTTCCCTTCACCATTTTAGAACTCGACTTTTCCATCAAGGGCAAAGTGCCCTGAGATTTGCAACATGTGCTATTAGTGCAACCTCCACTGACTTTGAGAGAATCTTTACGAAAACGCCTACCAGACAGCAAGCCATCATCCCGTTCAAAAAGCAGGTTGTTGACTGCCTCTGCATTTAGGGAGGCGAGCCTTCGTTTCCTGGGTTCTGAATGAGAGGTATGGTATCCCTCTTGCTCAGCACCTAGACAGGATACTGAATATTTTCCTCCAGAGGAATCTGGCTTCCCTGCACCCACCACCTGAACAGTTTCTGGAAAGCAGGCAGATTTGAATTCATCCACACAACAGGTGAAACCTCTTTTCATCCCATTTTGTGTCTCCTGTGACAGTGACCCAGCAACATCCTCCAGTCTAGTGAGGAGCACAGTGCATGTTTTTTTATCCACAGATGAGCTGAGACGTTTCCTCAATGGGTATGTCTTTCTGAGTTCCTGTGAATTCTTGCTTTTATTCACGCCTGCAAATCTACTCTGGCAGTTCTGCCCCTCAGTGCCATTTCCTTGCTCACTATCCTCCACCTCAGTCCTATCCATTCTCTCACCGTCAACTGGTGACAAAGCTTGGCCAGCCGAACCAGCTGAGCGTTTCAGAAGTAAGATCTGCTTCTTTCGGGCATGCGTCATAGGATCAATGTCCACCCCTGAGAACAAAGAAGAACATGTCTTAATATTGCTGTTAGAGACATGCATCCACACACCATCCCCCAACAGATTCCTGGGACGTACGCCTGGAACATGCACTTTGTATAAAATGGGAGAAAGAAATAGCTTTTTTAAAAAAAACATTGAGAAGTGGCTTTCTTGCAAACCAGAGAGCTTGAGAATTGTAGACAATGCTAAAGGGCCCACCCTCCATACTACTAAACCACACCCCTTCTTTTTACTCAGCTAACAAGCTACTTAAAGTACCAGACAGTGAAACAGCAGAAATTATGTTTGTAGCTTCTCTGAGAAGAACTACCTGCTTGAAAGAGTCAGCCTTTCACCATCCCCCCATGAAAACTGGGGCATTCCCACTTTTGTGTTTTCAGAGGGGGGGGAGAGGGAGAGAGGGAGAGAGAGGGAGAGATTTATCACTGTACATTTTTATATGTTAATAATCATTTGGCTCACTGATAGAAGCAACTATTTTGTGGCAATCTACTTACACATTTTAATCTGACATTTGGGAATGGATATACTGAAGTGTGCCGTTTTAATTCATGTTTAATAAATGGTGTTTTTAAAAAAATATAATTTGGAATATATATGAGGTTTAAAAATGCATAAAACGAATAAGGAGAGGAGCCATGAGCTGGACAGACACTGAAACAAACTACAACACGCTAACTGAAGGCCCTGGATGTAAGAGATTTATGCGGTAGTAGAAAGACCTGCCCAGAGTGCTGGAACAACAGAGGCAAATATAAGGCGCTCATCTGCAAGAGTTTGTCATCAACTCAGAGAATAGCTGTACAGGAGAAATGATGGCAGATTTGGAAATAGCAGGTTCACTGCACCACACTGCGCCGCGCCACATTTGTTCAATCACTTATGGGATTTATAGCTCACTGTTCTCCCACAGAACAAGGTAGTCCACTCTAACATTAAGTACAATATTTGTACAATATTAGCAGAAAACAAGACTGGGTATTCAAGCAAAACTAAATTAAAAGCCCAGTTTTTAAAACTAAAGTTTAAAACCACATTCCTAAGAAAAGCAGCAAGAAAAAAGTATTTCTCCCTTTCTGCTTGTCACCTGTTCCTGTGTTTCTCTCTGTGTCTCTCTCTCTGTGTGTGTCTTCACCTGTTCCTGTGTTTCTCTCTCTGTGTGTGTCTCTGTGGCACAATTCTGAATAGGAAAGGAACATACACAGTACCATTCCATTTGTGTGTGTCTCTGCGGCACAATTCTGAATCGGAAAGGAACATACACAGTACCATTCCATTAGTACTCTTGATACCACATGTTCCAAATACTGCTGTCACTTAAAAAAGCAGGACACACACACCCCTTCCCGATGCTGTGGTGGCAATGTAATTTGCAATTTGGTCTTTATTTCTGCCCCACACATCTATCAAGTGAATGCTGGAATACCTCTGCGGCACAATTCTGAATCGGAAAGGAACATACACAGTACCATTCCATTAGTACTCTTGATACCACATGTTCCAAATACTGCTGTCACTTAAAAAAGCAGGACACACACACCCCTTCCCGATGCTGTGGTGGCAATGTAATTTGCAATTTGGTCTTTATTTCTGCCCCACACATCTATCAAGTGAATGCTGGAATACAGACCTTAAATCTTCAAGAAGGAAGAAATAGGAATGACGCAGCTCAAACTTTCTCTTTCTATTTCTAATGAACAGATTACATCTTACTACCACTGTGGCCAAGGAATGTCAGTTTCTGTTACAGTTTCTTTTCCCTCGGAAAAGATAAGGCCTCTATCCAGGAAGAAACAGCCCAGGGAGGCTGAAAGGATCGATATATATATATTTAGACTGCCCTGAAGGAGTCAACAGCAACAGAACCAAAACTTTCTTTCACATGGCAGAATTATTTGGAATAACCCCTAGGGCCAGGCCAGTGATGAGGTGCGCAATTTCATTTTCGGTTCTTTCAGGATGTGCCTTTTTTGTTTCCATGTTTTTCATGCACAGTTCCTCTTGTTTAACAGAGAAGAGACCACATCTTTCTGGCTACTTCATTTCATTTTTTCCTATTCATGTTTTTGGCACTAGTACAAACAAGCCCTAAATAACAACCCCCCAAAACAGAAGCAAATCAACAGAGACTCAGTCTACTCATAAAGCTGGCAACAGTACAACCGACAAAAGCCACCACACGGCTCACACATCCCAAATGCCAACATATATATACCTTTAACCAAAATAAGTGCACAGTAAATTATTCAAATAACTATTCTTAATATTCACTCAAACAGAAAAACTAATCCCCCAACTATACAGGGGCAAAAGGGGAAAATAAAATATGCAGAGCCTCCTCCCCTGAAAACTAAGAAAAACAAGTGAGCAAATAAAGGCAAAAACTTCCATCAAAATACCCAGAAACAAAAATAGCTAGAATATGGAGAATTTTCTCCCTCAGCTACCACTTTATATCTTCCTTCTCTTCTCTTCTTTCCGTTTTTTTAGTACAACATAACAGCAGGCAGATATCCCCAAATCCCCAAGAAATGGGTCCCCCCCCCAAAAAAAAACAAGGGAGAAAGGAAAGTATCTAGAGGCACAGGCAGATGGGGCAGAAAAACAAGATGGAGGGCACCAGGACTTTGCACACACACTGAGTGGTGTTAAAATGCAAATGTCTCATCTCTATTAGCAAGCCTCTTTCGGCTTGCAAAAGAGGCTTGCTAATAGCAATGGCTGCAACTTTCTGATATTAAAGGTGCCCACCCATTCCAAGGCACCCAAAGGCTTTCCCAGACTAAAGGGGATCTGTAGGGACCCTTGGAACCCTAGCAAGAGTGACAGGCATCTTTTACTTAAAGATAAAAGGCAACAGCTGATGACATCATCAGTCTTACAAGTGTGAAGCTGCACCAACAGGATTCTGACCATTGTTTCCCTGAAATGTTTCCCTACCCCCTTTTTCTGGACCAGTGTCACCAAAATGATATTTAGCAAGCTTTGCCCATGCTGAAAACTTTCTGGAATGCAATTTGCCCCCCCCCTCAATGTGTGTGAGGTACAATGCACCATGATTAGCAGACGACAAACATGCCCCCTAGAGTTGCCCACGCCTGCTATACACACACAACTGTAACTGTAAAATATTATTATCTCTCCTACTAAAAACAGTTTGAGAGAAGCATGCTAAGAACTGCAACAATCTACTTGACTAACGTAATGAACACAATCCAATACCTGTGATCACAACAAGAAAACCTGTACTTCCCAGCCAATTTCCAAGTGATTAGTACAATGTAAACAAACACAAGCAAAATTAAAAAATCTATCTGATTAAATTTGACCAGAACCTCCACGCTTTTAGGATGAATCTATATGTGGCAGCCTCTTCTAATACCTGGGAAAAGTCAGTTGTCACACAATATCTTATATAACACGAGTGGTGAAGATAAAACATTGTGATTTATCAGTAAAGCATGAAACACCTAGACCATTAATCAAGATATGTTCAAATGTGAACAGTTTGGGGGCTCCAGCCATTGTTGTTACCATGTGCTGTAAGTCACCTCTGACTTATGTAGTTGTAAAGGTGTTTACAGGGGTGTATTAGTTTGTGCAAGCATTATAGGTGAAAACAAAATAAAATACAAAGTAACGAGATTGTATTTCCTCCTCTCATGTCTGATGAAGTGGAGTTGTCCACAAAAGCTCACAGTAAAACATATATAAGTTAGTCTTTAAGGTGCCACCATGTTTTTGCCTTTTTAAACTTTTTATTTTTATCTTGTTTTCACCTATAACTCATGACGATGAACGAGTGTCCTGTCCTGAACAGCCCTAACTTTTTATTTTTGTCTTGTTTTCACCTATAACTCGTGACTTATAGTGACTATGAACGAGTGTCCTGTCCTGAACAGCCCTGCTTGCAAAATCAAGCCTGCCGCTTCCTTTATGAAGTCAATCCATTTCATATTTGGGTCTTTCTTTTTTCCTCCTGCCTTCAACTTTTCCCAGCACTTTATATTTTCCAGTGTGTCTTGCCTTCTCATTATGTGCCCAAAGTACGACAGTCACAATTTCTTCATTTTTGCCTCCAGAGACAATTCAAGCTTGATTTGATCTAAAACCCATTTGTTTGTCTTTTTTGGCAGTCCAAAAAGACACCACAGTACCTGGAAACCACCACACCATACTCCCATTTTTGGATTATTACAGCAGCAAATAAAGTATTGTTCTGAAGTCCAGAGCTCTCACTCAATTTTTCCCTCCATAAAAATATCCAAGTCATTAAGGTTTTTAATACAAAGATCCTTCCTCATCTCCTCTGCGGAGCTGATGAATGGGATCTCCTCTGATACTGAAAGTGCTCCAGCCCAATTTCAACCTTGCCAGCTGTGCTCCCAATGCAGCTTTCCTACTTTAAACTCGACAGTGTCACTCAATAGTGAGGAGCTCGGTGGTTACTTTAAAGTTTTGACTTGGACTTGCATTCTTAAGCTGATCCTAGCCTGCATCCAATGGCAACATCATAAATTCTTAGGCAACATACATCCCTGCAAGAGTTTATTCTGTCAGACTCTCTCCTAGCTATGCATGGATGTTTGGATTTGACTCTAAAACTGATACAATCAGGCCAAGACTTTGGGATATTTAATTCCAAAAAACTGTCAGTTCTTCTCACCATCTTCTCTGGGCATTTCCTTATGAAACCCATTTCACTGCCTTATTGGATGGGCCTTTGCTTCATCGTTATTGTTATGTGATAAGCTAAATGTTGTGATTTCACAACTATTAAGTGGCCAACAGGTTAGCATAGCTTTACCTGGAAAGACTCCTCACCTATGTAATCTCCGAGAGATGGAAGGCAGAGCACATTCTTCCATTTTGCAATTTCCGTGCTGGAGTTCAACAACCACTCCTTTTTGTGGCCACTCCATGCAACCAATCCTTCAGTCCTATTCTACCACAAAACAAATCCCAACACAATTTCCAGATGTGGCTACAT